ATCCTCCATACCCAAACACATCCACCAGACTGGAAAAGTGTGTAGCGTGACTCGTCGCTCCACAGGACAGATTTCCATTGATCCACGGTTCAGGTTTGGTGTGCCTTACCCCATGTCAATCAACGGTGTGAATTTGTTTTTGTTATCAACGGCTTGTGGGCTGCAGCTTTTCATTGAAAATTCATGGCACGCAGCTCTCAACGTGTCGTGGAAACACTTATAGGATTGCCTGTGGCTGCTTGCATCTCCAAACATAAATTCTCTAGGGTCTGATGGCGAGATGAGGTAGCAAGCCTTCTCAAGGAGCGTCATCTCCTGTCAGTCAGTACTTTACACCTACCCGGTCGTTTCTTGAGCTTATTGTCACCTGTGATCTTCCATTTCTTCAACACGTTGCCAACTGTCGACCTGGGAATGTTTAACTGTTTTGTACAATAGCACGTACAGACATTTTCCCCAAATGACATCAAACTATCCTTCCTCTGTGATACTCCGTTAGCTCTTCCTGTGTGCTCATCGTCCTTCGTACAAGTTCGAAATGACTTCCGATCTTTCTGTGTGCTCCTCGTCCTTCGTACAAGTTCGAAATGACTTCCGATCTTTCTGTGTGCTCATCGTTCTTCGTACAAGTTCGAAATGACTTCCGAGGGAACCGCTGATCACCTTTATAGGCCAAACTATTTGCATATTTCATCGTCACACCTATTTTCCTGCAATCGGAGATGTGTCCCATGACTTTTTGTAGGATAGTGTATATAGATACGCGACCAAGTTAGTAGAAGTAAGTTAGTGAAAGTAAGACAAAATTTGTGAGAGATATAGTCAAATAGATCTAGACTGTGTTTGTAAGTTTAGTCATAAAGAGTATATAGTGGCGACTTTTAAAGTGAAATAATCGCAGATTGTATTGTAATAACAGAGTATAGAAGAATAATTCGTCTTGTCAGTTGGGTTTTAATGTAATTGAACCAGCCTGTGTTGACCCTTGACGAAAAGAGACGATTATCTAAAGCTCTGGATACAACTGTGGTGATTAACTGTGTAACAAATATTTGTATATACGTTTGACTTGTTTTGAATATATGAAAACAAGTGGATTGTGTGTTGGCCGTTTATTGTTGAAATTTATTGCCAACAAATCACAGACATATACTGTAAAGAATTCTTCCAAACATAGAAGTAAAAACCTTAAAATAACATTTAAATTACAGTTAAGTTGGATTATTCTCATAATGAATTATAGACCTAATATCAGTACCGTTTATGTTTGATGTACGTTTCCAAAACTTGTTATGAATACATTTTTTATTTTAGGATCAAACATTTGTAAACTGTCAAAAAGATGACTCAACCAAAATCACGTCAGTTTATTTCGCTTGTTCAAGTGCTGGTTTTGTTGTTTAAGAAAAGTAATTCGTATTTGATAAATGTCCAAAAAAGAATGTTTTAAATCATACGTTTGGAGTTTCTACATGTATTAAAATATTCATAACTATCAAACGTTAAGTAATATATCTCGGTAATTGTTAAGTCTTAATAATATTTATTATTGGATTTAGAAATTTTATATTAATGGAATCATAAGAAAAATCTAAACAGTTCTATTTTTTAACAAAATCTCATAAATATTGATTTTCGATAAAACTTTGAAGTCAGGCATATTTTAATTATAATTTTGAATTATTTGGATCATGGTATTGATATATGTTGGATTTTAACGTGTGAACATTTAACAGTATTTTAACACTTAGTGGCGTAATGTTGCTCAGTATGGTTACTCTAACAATTTAAGGGTGGAGCTCCAATTATGGTGCGTAAATCAAAAGTTCCATTACTTATTTTCAATTCATATACAAAACATATAAATCACTCTATATGTTCCACAACGATCTTGTATTTATAATGTAGCTTTGAATGAGCTAAGACATTTAACGTTACGTCGGTAGAGTTTTCTTCATAATCTTAACGTCATCATTACGACCCGTGGTTCTCTCTAGTTAACATTTAAATTACAACATTAAAAATATAGCTTACAATAATGCTGATCATTCAGACGAGTGTGACATGCATTAGTTTGTGATTAGGACTGTGATTCACAGTACTTTCAACTAAAAATTAATGCTTGAATAATCTATATGTAAATTAACTGCGAAGCTTTCAGTGAGTAAAGTGAATGGAAGAAAATCTTTTCGAAAACTAGCGATTGTCATAAAATTAGATAGTCATGTAGATCATAAAGTCTAGCTACCACTGACATAACATTTAACTGAAATATCTCATATCTTGTTTTTACTTGCAGGTTTCACGAAGGTGGTGTTCTATTTCTCTTCACAACGCTTGTGCTCTTATGGCTTTTCAGAGATCCTCAGTTCATCCCTGGCTGGGCCGAGTCTTTGAACACTGGCGTGTAAGTATATTCAGTTCATCCATAGCTGGGCCGATTAGTCACAAGTAAACTCTTGACCATGTTTTGGGAAGATACTTTGGAAGTTACACTTATTTTAGAAAAGCTTGTTACTCTTGTTTTAAGTATTTTCTAGAATATATTTGGATCAGAATATGTTCTATTCGTAATGAATTTTTTTGATAATATTACCTAAAATATCAAGGAATTATTAAACAACAGAAACGAACAGCAATGTAGGAGCACTTCATCTTAGCAACTGACTTTTCTACTTCTAAATTTACGCGAATACAAACTGTTGTTTTCTGATAGCCAGTGCTGACTTTACTATATGCTAGCGCCATCTACTGGCATTAACTTAAGTGTGTCAACAATGTCGTCAACTAGTACTTAAAACATTGGGGCTGTATATGTCGCAAGAACTTAATTCTTACCACTCATTTTATTTACGTCTCCACCTCGCGAAGTTAACTGAAGTTATTTTTTAACTGTCCATATGTGTTATCAAGGTTGTGAAGACTAAATTTGGTGAAAGAGTTTGATTATTACTCCTCATTTACTTTGGGTGAAGAAAATGAAAATATTGTTAAGGTTATATATTACATAGTTGGCAAAAGAAAATACGCTGAGAATGAGATATCTAAACAATATGCTAGAATCAATCGTCTACAAGATGTCTAAGAATTTTGGAGTATCAACAGAGAGAAAACCATTTAACAAACATATGGTTGTTGCACATGCAAGAATAATGTTAAATGTTTTTACACCATACAAGTGCATCACAAGTTGTACGTAAAATGTTCAGTCTGTACTCAATCTCCTACCAAAGGTTTTGCTACATTGTAACAGTGATATTGTGAGGGTTTCTTGGATTCATCCTTACTCATAACCTTACTAGCGTAAACAATGTCCTTTATGAAGCCTTATAAAAATAATAGGTCATCAGGTTTAGTGTCCGGAGAATGCGAGGGCTAACTGACCATCGATTGGGGAATGTTTCCTCAAGTGTATAACAGACACTGAGACTCCAGTTTGGAGGGGCACCGTACTCCTGAAATAACACGATAATGACGTAATAAATAAACTTAGTAGTCCGAAAATTGTTTAATCTCGATGTCCAAGTTCAATCTGAAATTTGACCAACGTGTGTTATTGGGTTATACTAGTTTCGGAGAATTCCACTCCTCATCAGTAACCCTGAACACAAGTTAACCAAAGAGAAATAAGCAGGACTTGTATCACAGTGAAAAGTATCAACTATAGTTGTGCAGCTATATAATGTGAAGAACTGAATAGTGGCCAATGACACTTTTTCTTCACTTCACTTATCCAGTGTATAGGTTTTTTCTCATAGTGACTACAAAGCACGTTCACACCAATGGCGATAATAAAATTTATCTAAATTGTAATTTAAAAAAACAACAACTAAACATTATTCTTGCACGTGGAACAAATCGCGTGGCTCTATGTTAAAAAAATTTCCCGCCTTGAGTTTTTCAAAAGTGTTTCTCAACATTTTTAGACATCCAATATTTCCAATCATTCTTTTTTTCAGCATATTTATTGCAGATCAAAGCTGCTTGATTTTAAAAACGTGTGAGTGTGTGTGTGTGTAACTATGTTCGCGGTAATCATTTCTGTTATTCTATATTATATTTTACACATTTTATACAAAAACCAACAACAATTGTTTACAGAAAAATCAAAGACGCCACACCCGCAATTGGTATATCCGTTCTCCTGTTTCTTATTCCATCCAACCCGTCTCGTTTCGGCCGCTGTCCTCCTCTTCTTGATTGGCGCGTGGCACAAAAGAAAATCGCTTGGGGTATCTTGCTCCTCCTTGGTGGTGGTTTCGCCCTCTCCGAGGGTGCTAAGGTAAAAAAGAACAATGATATATCTTTGTCCGCATCTATTGAAATTTTAATACTTTCAGAAAATATATCACATGTATGACTAGCCAGTGTTAATTGTTTATATTTTGGAGGGGTTGCACAGTTACTAAATTGTAGGTTATTTGCTTACAATAGTACATTTTATTTTGCCAAAAAGTACCATATAAATTAAATACATCCATAGAACTAACGAATACTACCATAGTATTATCGTCTCCGTATTTTAGTTTCTTATTCCGTCTGAAGGTGACGCTTTTAAAACTTACAGTTACAAAAAACACTAAAATAAATCATTTTTCGTGTAGTTATTTATTTAGAATTAGAATGATAATGTATAATTAAGTAAAATGAATATAACAGTGTATGGTGACACAATGGCACGAGTATAACAGTGTATGGTGACACAATGGCACGAGTAGAATAGTGTATGGTGACACAATGGCACGAGTATAACAGTGTATGGTGACACAATGGCACGAGTATAACAGTGTATGGTGACACAATGGCACGAGTATAACAGTGTATGGTGACACAATGGCACGAGTAGAATAGTGTATGGTGACACAATGGCACGAGTAGAATAGTATATGGTGACACAATGACCAAAACGGTGCATGACACAGTGATCAAAACGGCGAAACTGAAACGGTGCATGATACAGTGATCAAAACGGCAAAACTGAAACGGTGCATGATACTGTGATCAAAACGGCAAAACTGAAACGGTGCATGATACAGTGATCAAAACGGCAAAACTGAAACGGTGCATGATACAGTGATCAAAACGGCAAAACTGAAACGGTGCATGACAAAATGACCAAACGGCATGACTGGAACAGTGTTTGACATGGCGATAGGCATGAATGTAACAGGGTATGACACGAAAACAGCATGACTGGAAACGTATTGTATAATAAAACAATATTCAGTAATTTTTAATTTTTTTGAATGATATTATGCTTTGTTATTTTTTCAGTTAGGCTGGCTATATACGGGCCAAAACGGTTTTAAAATAGAAAACTTTAAAACTTTTAAATATCAGATTGATTTATTTTTTTACAAATGTGCAAAAAGCGTGTGAAATAACAAGTTTATGAATCCATGTAATTAAGAACAATGTGCCCCAATTATATTTGGCACTGCCCCGAATCCCTAGTTCGTGTCTTGAAAAATCAGAATAGAAAACTATCATATCGGAGGTGAAAGCCTATGGGCTCGAGCCCCGAATCTTTTAGGCACCTAGCGAAGACTCTGGCAATGTGTGTTAGTCAGTTCATGCGTGTACAAGTGCTAGCTCACCTGGAAATCCAATATTCCTATTGGCTAATTGTACAGTGGTACTTTTATACGAGAACAAATACGTGTGCAAAACTACGACATTTATAACATTAACTTTAAATACAATTACTTCAGTAACATAAACACACAAGGAGCACATTAAGTTAATTCTTTACCTTCAGAGGCTTATAAATAACCACATATCATTACACCTCAATACAAATTCTAACAGGCGCCTAAAAATCAACAACAAAGTTTAAATACGCTTAGTACACAAAGCATGAGTTTACTCGTTATATATACTACGGGAATTAGCCTTTTATGAAATGTTATGTTATG